CAAGCTGAATCCTTGGGTTCCTTTAAATCAGAGCTAGATAAGATTTTAACAACTCTGAGCTATTAGTTAAGTTCTCCCCAAGCGAGCTCGGTGGGCCGAATGGCCTCCTCTCGTTTGTATAGTTCTTATGTTCTTATAAGAGAAGCACATCATGGCCCCTAAACAGGTACCTTGAATTAGTACTAAATTGAAGGTGAGGAGTAAAACTGAATCTAGATAATGTCTATAATATGTTTTCTGTACTAGGTGAACCCTATAGGGAGAAAATGTCTTTTCTAGAAGTAAAGCAGCAGCAATAAAGATGAATGATGATTATACAATTCTGAAAAAATTTAGCTTATCTGGTTATAGATTCCAGTACAACACCTAGTAATACTTGTTCGGTTATTAAACAAACATCATGCTGAAATAAACTGAACAGTCATTACTAAGATTCTTGTATTTAAAATCGACAGAATGCAGGTTTGACAATACCTTGGGTGGTTTGAATGGGTAATCTGGTGTGAACGCAATGTCAAGGAAGAACACCCCTCCTTCATATACAGACCCAGGGGGCCCAAGAATCGTGGACCTCCATTCATATACGTTGTCTCCTTTTGGTCCAGCACTGAAAAATAATACCGCTGAATTAGAGCAGGATACAGAATCTAGACAGCAACTGTCCAAAATATAAATCTGTCACAGCAAGATACAAACGGGCCATTGTCTTGAAGCTTGGTGAAGGTATAGTGTAAAATACTGCAATACAAACCAACTGTTGGACAAACACACTAATTTATGTGATTAAGACATTTTATGGTACTTAAAATTCAGGAACTTCTGGCCACCCACCTAATGCAAATACCAACATTATAAGAACACAACTCAGATTTGGTGAATGATTGGTTAACACCTATTGCTTCAATAAAAACCTAGAGGGTAACAGTACAGGACTCGGTTTTGAGTTTATGGTTTGGTGCAATTTTAGTCCAGTATTTTTTTTTAGTTGTTTATCATCTCAACTGCATTTAGAAGTGATAATAAACCAAACAAAAGGTAATGTGTTATCGACTTACAACAAATCCGTATAACAAAACCAGAGACGTGCACATTTGTAAAAATGTGTGGATTCATTTTTACATTTTTATTTTGCATCATATCGATCATAATGAACTAAATCCAGTCTAAATCCTGTGTTCCCAGTATGGCTGCATACCTGCAGAGATAAACACCCCTATAGCCTTAGTTATTTTTTGGCTCAGTCTGAATTTCTTGGCAATATGCGAGTTCGGTATAACAGCCAACAGACAGTCTCAGTCTTATCAACTACTCTCTCCAGTCGAATTTATTGGGAAACGAAAATGTTTTCAAACTACTGATTTAACTGATGAGGGTTTTCAAATTCTCACTTCACCACTATGACTGACTAACCAGCGTTAGCCAACTAACTGTATTCATTATCGCTTTTGAAGATCTATTTGTTAATTTAGGTTCCGTTCATGTCAAGAAATGTATGTTTCATTGTGCATTCTGAACCAAAAATGATGTCACCGAACAGCACAAGATGAATGTGTCTACCATTCCTTATCTGTACTGTGGAAAGAAAAAAGAAAAAAAGGCTCTTACTTCTGGCAGGTCCAATAGCAGCTAGTGTTAGGCCAAAGGCAATTGTTAACAGCATAGTTAGCACATAACTATCTACAGCATATCAAAAAAGGCCAGGTATCTGACAACACTGCACCCATTCTTCAAAAACTTTAAGAACTTGGAAAAGAGATACTAACCAAACAGCTCAGAAAACCCCTAACAATACAACCTAACTCATCTAATTCTCCAGAGTGGTCTAACAAAGGACAATTTCTCCATTCTGCATAAATATGGCCACTCGTGGGTGGGAAAATTGCCAGACAGCCCATTAGTTTTGTGTAGAAGATGAAGCTACTGTGGACACAAGCAGCAGGTACTGAAGACAGATGGGGATGGACTGTGGTTTTGGGCAATGTACAGAATTATGAAATCACAAGGCTCACCAACATCAAGTGTTTTTGCCACCATTGTATAAAGACTCAACGGGGTGAATGCACATTGCTCAACATGAAACCACACACATACACAATGACTCAGTAGCGTTTGAAACACTTCACCAAAATGAAGAACCAATAAGGACACAGAACAGCCTCAAGAGGGGGAAATCTGCCATCAACTTGTACCTAATACTCAGTGCAAACTCAGAGCTCATTACAGGTTCTGATGTTGCACAAAAAATTCATTATATCAAGAACATTTGTCAGTTGCCGTCTTCAAATGTGATGCATTACTCCTGATTAAGGGATTCAATTTTTTTCCCCTAGAGGAAATCTGTGCCAAGTAGTCATTTAAATTCTACTGTGAACACATATAATTCAAGTGGACCAGGTTGTCAGCGATGACAGTTTTGCTTGTTAAAGTGTTTTGGAGAGACGAAAAAGGACTACAATAGTTCTCTAAAACATGCATATTTTACGATAGTGTAATAAACGTTCAATCTCAGTGTCATTTCATAACAAAAACTACAAGCACAGTGAGCTAGGAATATCAGTGTGATGACAAGCCATGTCAATAAAAACTTAAAACGGATGCTTTATTTTACCTGATGAGCCACATAAATACTAAATTAATGCAGCATCTACAAAGGGTGTCAGTGACCATACGCATGCCACCATTCTTCAGAATTCCCAGGTGGACAATGTCGAGGGGTGCAAGAAGTCAGGTGTTACCAGACCATCCCGAGGTGCCATCTTTGCAGTTCACAGGACTAATCTGACATGGTCTGATGGGCCATTACAGATGGAGGCACAGGGGTACTTTTGGATGGGTTTCCTGTAACCTTGGCACTGTCAGGAGGCTGCCACCTTAGTGCCAAAGAGAGTTGTGATCAAAGCAGAACAGAACTGATGCCATTTCCCTGACCAAGTACTGAAACAGGTAGCTGAAATGGCAGAGTGGGTCTGTCCCTTTAAGAGATTTAAAGGGTCACACATAAATGTGCTAATAAACTGGCTAGTGTGCTGCAGCATTTCCCTGCTGTGTTCCACATGCAGGCAGGAGTCCATAGTGGGAGAAATGCAGCAGCAAAACCACACAGCAACACAGCCGGCGCTGGCCCCTCGCTCTGGCAAAGCCGGTGTCCAACGTGCATTTAGTGGCTCTGCCGCAGAGGCCACAGGGCGGGCTCACCCCCCTGCTCCCATAGTGCCGTGGTTTCAGAGGCAGAGTCTGGGCAGGAACTGCCACAAGAAAGGGTGCCAAACAGGTCACACAAAGCTTATTTACAAAATAAAAGAATATAAATCTAAACCCAGACCGTCTCTGGAGACCCACTGTGCATGCAGTCTTCATCCCTTTTTTCTGCCGTTTGCTTTTGCCTTACAGACCAAAAGGTCTGACCATATGCTTTGAAGAATCGTTTGCTTACATATCATTTGCTGGGATTTCCCCCCCGTCTATTTACTTTAGGAGTCACTTTGGCCAATCATTTAAACCTCTTGCTGAAATTATCACACAAGGTTTACTCATACTGACATATTAACTGACCGCAAATTAAACCCAGGCATTTGCATATCACAGAACACTAAGCACTTTTTCCCCCTGCCTCAGTATTTCTAACAGCTGCTTCAAATGTTTTAGCAAATATCAAATTATGCTATTCACACAACCATAAAACTTATGCTACCACCTGAAGGCATTACCAGTCTGAGAAATGAACTATCAAATCACATTGACCAAGGGCTCCACCTCTGTGGTTTCTCTAATGAACTGCTATACAGAGGCAGCCATGAGCATCAGCTCTCGCAAATCCATTAAAATAAAACAGCACATGGACAACTGCCAGTCAAACTCATGAATAGAAGAGAAATGCAGATATTTCTGTAGTCAAGGCACGGAATGTACATTAGAAATTCAACATTTCTATTTGAAAACTCTTAAAACAAAACTTATCATGCAGCAACCAGATTTTTTAAATGATAAAAACATTAAGGCTTCATTTATTTATTTTAGGCAAGATGTAGATTTAAGCCTGAAAAGTACCAAAAATGTACTCAAAATAATAGCCAAGAGCAAAAATTAACTTCCGTAGACTGAGCTTTTCCCTGTCACAGAATTGTCACATAAGCACTTTTGTACTTTGCATACAATATGACAAGCACTTCAAATTCTCAGCGGGGTGCCACATTTCACAGGCCCGGTGTCTACATTAAATTCAATGCAGACCACTCATTGTTTTACTTTTCAATGGTTGCTACCTGCCCTTACTAGTGCAAACTTTAGCTAAAACACTGATAATACCCAGTTAATTACAGACACACCCAGTTTACAAATATACATAGTATAATTGTATAGCACTCCATGAGGGTACAACTCTTATAGGCAGTCTACAGTTTCGCTGGAGATGCATTGCTACTTGTTTAAGTTGTAAAAGCAACAGTTAAACTAAGCTCAAAAATGAACATCAGCCTGTCACCATCATACAACACCCTGATCCACTTGCTTTCACACTTTAAGCCATTTTGGTTCAAATGTAGTCAAATCAGACTAAAATGCAGTCAAAACAGACATCTCAGTGCCAATGCCTGATATTCTCCCACACTGCTGTACTACATTTGAACAATTGAAGAACTTAGTCTGACCTACAAGTCAGCACTAGAGTGATGCTCTAACCACAATTTGTTGGGGGAAAAAAATGCTGAACTGCTTTCAGATAAAGCCTAAATGTATAGGAGGTACAGAACTGCGTAGAGGAGCAGGTTTAAGCAATTTACAGTAATTTTTTTAATTAAACCATGGCCATCTGCGTGCTTTACATACACTTCTAAACAAAAATATGGCAGCAGGTAAAGAACGCCAATTAATTAAAGCAAATACAGAAACACGATCCTTTTACAAACAAATGTGCAACGTATAACCATCATAGGTAGTTGGAAGTTTAAAATGAGAAACGTTGCGCAAAATTAACACATGCTAAAAACTCTAAAAACGCTATAACCTACAATCATCTGACCTTAATTTGACGATTAGCATGGATAAAAACGATTAGAAACTAGTTTACCGAAGATGGGTAAACAGACTTGCCTGCAGTTCGGCGGCGGATCCAGCGTGATGTCGGCCAACTCCTTCTGAATCCTGGCGGGGACAGAAAGCGGATCGCGCGTTACCTCCGCACACTCGGCACGCTCCCGATCGTCGGCGCGGCCTCGCCGACCCCCCGCACTCACAACATGGCCGTTTGCACTAAACGCCACTGCATGGTGTTTCCCCCCACCCGAAAAACACTAATAACTACTTCCGAAAGTGCCCCTGACGCAGACAACAAAAACTATACGGTGATTACAGATAGATCCCGAACCAGTACACGCAATTCAGTCAATCGGGTCGGAGTAACAAGCTGTTTAACTTAATATGCAAATGAGCCCGCTGACACCAGGGAGCGCGGCTCCCAGATCCCTCACGGTGAACACACACGTTCGAGCTCCTGCCGATCCGGACCTTCCCACCCAGGAGTCAGTCCCCGAGGGCCGGCCTTAAAACACAAACGGTCCGGATCCGTGCACTGTTCGGTCCGCTTTACAGCCCCCATCACATGTCGCCTTTCTCCCGGTGGACTCCTCACCTTTTCGCGCTGGTCGACAGCAGTTTGGACGGCTTGCTCATGCTGCTTCTGCCCTCCCGTTTGCTGGCGGGGGCGCCTTTCTGCTTGGGCTGCTGGGTCGAGGAAGAGGAGGATGATGAAGAGCTGGTGCTGGCTCTCGAATCCTCATCCGACATGCCGGCCTCAGGCGAAAAGGAAGCGTACCTACGGTTTTGTGGTTTTAAAGAAAGCCATACAGCACACCGTAAAAGTTTCCGAAAGAGCAGAGTTCTGCCCCGTCCTGCGGGTAGGGACACTTGGTTATAAACGCGGCTCGGTTAGCGGGGCGGCTACTTATAAAACGCCTACATATGAAGTTCAGCGCCGGGCTACTGCAGCCGCTTAGCTAGCCGGTGTCTATATGGCCGAGCGGTTCGGATGATAGTGAGAAAGATCCGGTCTCACACGGGCCGGTTCTTCCCGAAATCCGACACCGGTCTGACCTGCATGGTGGCCGCAGTTCGGTGGTTATGGGTTAATTAGCACTTAATTGACCGAGGTCAGCATAGCCGTTGCCTGCTGATAGTGACTTATCGCAGCGGTTCGCCCGGCACCACGAAGCACACACCGGCTCCATTCCCGAGACGTCCCACAGCCTAAGTTGAGTAGCTGGGTTACTAGCTGGTTAGTTAGGGTAACTAGCCGGCTGGCTAATTCTTCATGCTGCCTGGAAAAGTTTGACGTGACAGGAGCCGCGCGTCCCCTTTGACCGACCGTAAGCATACATTCGGCCGAAGGAGAGCGGCGGCTGCCTGAAGGCGGTCGGCTGGACCCTTCCGGGCCGATGAGACCCGACGGCTCTTCCTTGAAGCCCGACTGGCGTCTTTCTTTACACACCCAGCCGGTTCCGTCGAAAGCCCAGTTAGCTAACCAATTAGCCAGGCAGGCACTTCGGTCGGACGGGTCCCCCCTCCTCCTCGCTCGTCCTCCCTCCCCGACCCATCCACTATCCTGGCTCGGCTACCCAGAACTTTGACGAGCGGGCCAGCGGCGTTCCGGATTACCTTGGCGAACGTGCCCGTCTCCGTCTCCGTGTCCGCGCCTCGCGCCACTTCGCGGAGCGGAAGTGCGGCCGCGGCAGCAGCTATGGAGTCACGCTCCGGACTCGCGGATGATGAAGTTCAGGCGTGGAAAGAAGCGACTTCAGCGGAAACCCGATATGGTTCCACTTCAGTCGAGAGGCGTTAAACCACCTCAGAATAACTATTCAGCAAGCGATTCCCCTCCCCGAAATCGACCTCTACTTTCACAAATAAAAGTAATTTATATAGTAGTATATAAAACTCAATCCAATTGTATCCCTGGATTTAATTCCCCTTTAAGCACAACCTTCTCATGTAAACTTATTTTGAGCACTTCCCACACTAAATTGCTTTATTTGACAGTGTTATTAAAAAGCCATTTAACCGTTAAAAACGGCAGTGTCTATTTTAAATGCAATATTTACGGTTTTCTGCCGAAATAGCTAACGATTTCTCACGTTTTTCAGGTGGAGATGGCATCGATTGGTAAATAATTTAGTAATGGTAAAAGGCTGTTTTGTTTATATAATATGACAAATACTTATAAGCATAACAATTTAGAGACATCAAGTATGCTAATTTTCATTTGAACAAATATCCTTCTTTAATTTGCTTAGTGAGTGGTTTGTTTGTTTATTTATTCATTTTAATCCACGTGTGCCCCCAGTTCATTGTTTCTTTAGTGCTATAAAAATGTGGAAGAAAAATTAGCTCAATCAGAGTTATCAGAGAGGTTGATTTATAATTGAACTACCACAAAAACACACAATGGGTTTATAGTACGTGAATCAAAGAGAATGAGACTAAATAAATCATTGACAGATGGAGACAAGACTTTGAAAGATATTTGATTCAATGAAATCCTTTGAAATAAATATTGTAATATCAGTTAATGCCTTTTAAGTAATAGAGCTGTGCAAAGACTCATTACTGTGGTTGTAAGCAATGTGGTGTTCTACTTGACACACTTTGTAGACTACACCTCAAAGAGTGACAACATTTACACAGACCAAAATCGAAGACATGACAAATGCTAATCACGTTTTAACACGTTCCGTAATTGGCCAAGGTGATACTGTCTAGCTTCCTAGCACAAAGAAAACACCATGTCAGGTCTTGAAGAAGAGTGGATGAGCAGGAGAAGGAGTACAGCCTCTCTATTACAGCTGATGCAGTACCGTGGTTTTTATTGCCTCTACACGCAGCAGGTGAAAGGTGTAGGTAACGTAAATGGTCACATAGCATACCATGTCACTTGTGTCATATCAGTATAGGGTGGTTTGGGAAGGGCTCAAATACTAGCAATTATTTACAGCACTTATAATAGTGTCACATGTCACAAAGGTTAGAAACACACAGTATTTCCTGTTTTGTTAGCGAGATATCTGAGAATTTATCTTTAACATCACATCTGCTCTGCCTATTCTTCTTAACGTAATGAATTCCTTGGGCTTATGTTAAAGCTGAACGATTACACACTAGACATCTTCCAGTACTGAACAGTTCTACTTTGAAATCCATCCTTATGCTGTGAGAATGCTGGGCAAAAATGACAATGGAGGCCCGTAGATTGCTCAAAATGCCATATTCCATAAGAAGCACACAAAACAGGCCTGCCATCCTGCTCACAATGACCATTGTGTATTCATTATGTGCACACAGCATCTTTGTTTTGTCCAGAATGGTCTTCCTTAAACTCGAAGACCGTTTTGCTCAGAATGTGTGGCCGCCACGAGCTAAAGAGCGCAACTGGCTTATTATTGCATTTGCACTGTTTTGTTATGGTGCAACTAGCCTTGCTGGAAATAGATAAGACAACGACCCTTCACACACTACCCACATCAGTTAAACAAACACAGTGTTATGCATATTTAAGAAACCTTACCAAAAATAGTGAGTTAGACTGTAGTTTAATACAATCCGGGCAAGACATATTAACACAATACCGAACCCATGGTATAAGAGATGCTGGCACTTAATTTAGGGACCTTCCTTTTCCTCAGACTCTCAAACATTTTGTATTATTCTGAAAAGCACATCTTCCGTGCAGTAAGACTAGAGTCTTTTACCATAATCTCACTCTGCTTGCAGAAAAGACCCCAGAAAGCACTGTGATTTAACAGCTAGAGCAGACTCTGAGGAATGGGGCATAGACTCTTAAAGAGGACAGTACTGTTTTACATATGTACTGGTACATCCATCTTCTATATCTGCATACATGCTTCCTATCCCAGGAAGCACAGTACTCCAGATAGGAGATACATACACTTACTGTCTACAGGGAATTTGTGGACATCAGTCCACCTGACTGACATATTCTGTGGGAGAAAACCAAAGAAAACTAAGGAGAGCACATTGAGAACTCCACACACGTGCAAGCAAGCACACACACACACACACACACACAGACGCAGGAATCAAGCTCTGGGTGGCACGAAGCCACTGGGCTGCTATCTGTGTGAGCAGTTCGGTAGATGCGTAGAGATTATCTCAGCGAGCGTTAGAACTCAGGTGCAGCTGAAAGAAAATCAGCATTTTTCTCGTGTAAATTTTTCAGTAAAACCAGGTCTGCGTTTTTTTACCCTGAGAAGTTCCTTCTGCTTCGGCTGCGCAGCTTATCTTAGGCATTACAAGAATATGCACAGCCCATAAATATGAACCTTATCTCACTGTGAGCTCTTAGCTTGTTACTTACTTTTCCGCTAATACTTTTCACAGCTTTATCTCCAACAATCCCATGTTGTGTTTCTTTAAATAGGCAGTGCAAGGGGGATTCCTCAGCACTACAGAAACAGCCTTGAATGGTACTGATATTACATAAGCAGCTTCAGAGATCTGAATTGACTGCAGCTGAAAGATTCAGTCCAGTGTGCCCCGACTGCAGCAGAGATGTGAGATGTCATATTACGGCAGGAAAACCAAAAATACCAGAAAAGAACGAGGCTGCCCTCCAATACGGCAGAAAAACCCTGAGCAAAACTACCATTTTCAAAACACCGGGTCACTATTGGACACCCGTAATAAAGGTCGTTTGTGTAAAGGAGATGTGATCTTTTAAAAGGTGGGACAGTTACCAGTATTCTAATTCACCCCTCACCCCAGTTGGATCACTGATATAGAAACAGGACACTAACTGACTTAGTAATTGTAATTGGCGCAAGCAAGGGTGAAATAAAAATAAATAAATAAATAAAATGGACCTTTTCCCCAATCTATATGTGATCCTAGTGGAAATAAGGTTACTGCACAGGTGTGTTTTCTGCAAGTGTTACTCACTGTAATCAACGAGCATATATGACACTTGGAGGCAGGAAATCTGAACTGTTATAGCCAACATAACGAATATGGCTTGCCATTAATACTATGTAGGAGTACTGGATCAGACCTTAGTCCAGAGGGAAATGTTATGCCCTTGGATCCTTATAGCACTGTAGTTAGAGTAGCTAAAGCCAAGGTCTATGGCTCTCTTATATCCCACATTCCCTTCCTCGCAAAAGCACAAAAGTCATGTCAAAATACTTATGTCATACTTTCTTTGTTCTACACATTACCAATATGGATCTGCCCCAAATAACGGAAAATTTAGAGGATTCATTTTACAATCTTTTGTTAAGTGGAGGTGGGGGGTGCCAGACCGCCTTTTAAGTACCATCGTAAAAGGAACATGGAGACTTGGAGAAGTCGATGGACAGAAGACAATCAGAGGCCCACACAGGAGAGGACAGCCAGGACAAGCAACTCCCCATAGACCTCCAGTACATCCCCATAGACCTCCAGTACATCCCCATAGACCTCCAGTACATCCCCATAGACCTCCAGTACATCCCCATAGACCTTCAGTACATACTAAAACATCTGGGGTTAAACAAGCAGTTGGTTGAATGTTCAAGGTATGCAGGATGCAAACTCCTTCAGGGCATTGACTGGAGTTGGACAGAAATCTCTCTCAAGCCATATTAAAACTATAAACATCTCCCACTTGAAAACACTACACGTCAGTTTCCCGTCCACGAGGTACAATCTTACACTGTACACCTGATTGTGTAACGGACACCATGTTACATTTTAATGGCAGGTCACCACTATCTTCATATCTTGGTATCATCCCATATTTTCACAGATTGCTCCCGGAGTCACAAGCAAGCATATGCCATGCCAGGCTAACGAACAACGGCAGATAGAAATTACAGTAACGACTGCGGTCAGAAAGGAAGCGATTTTCAGGAAGTAAATGAGATTGAACTTAAAACGAGAGCGAGAGAGCTGACGTCACTTCTTCAGTCTGAGTAAACAGGCCTCTGTTTGTGACCAGGCTGAGAGAAAATGCAGCGGACGGGAGCTGGAAAACAACACACGTTTCTTTGCCGTGGTTCAACCACAGTGTTTTATTGAGTACTTTAATAATGCGCGTGTACAACAAACTGCTCCCCGTGTCACGAGCGGCGGGGAGCTCGGAAAATTTACAAGTCCTGTCTCTTCACAAGCGGAGCTGATACTTCTGCAGTCCGCCTCAACAGCCCATCTTAAAAAATAATACGTACAAACAGAAATCGTGAAGGTAGGGCATGAACGCTACTTTTGGTGTCACATGACTGTGGAGAATGATAAAGATCATCAGCCTCGATCCTTTTAACATGCACATACCATTAATGACTCCAGTACAAAAAAAAACAAAACTTCTAAACACTACCATAAAGTAGAAACAAGATAGAAATCTGCAATCTGTCCGTGGGACCACTTAAAAATGAAGGAAAAAAACACACGCACACACGCACACACATTTACAAGCTTGGGTGACAATAATTATAATAATATACTTTTTCTATGAGAGTTCCAACATTCAGTCAATTGGAAAATAAAATCCCAATCTACTCTTTGTATAAAAAAAGAAGCTTTCAAGTCAACAAGGAAAAAAGGACAGGTCTTCTCACAAAAAGGTAAACAAAAGGTTCACGGAGGTGGGGGGGGGTCGACGGTCGCACTTAGTGAGTGTGCTTTGACGGGGTGCAGACGGGGTAAAGAGGAAGTGTGTTTTTTTGATTCTCTTTTTCTTTATTTTGAGGGATGGGTACAGGGCTTCCATGCGGTCTATGTGGCGTATCTCTTGGTCCACTGTTTGGCTATTCTGTCGTGCTCCACTCTGTTGGTCAAGTATTGTGTGGCGATGCTTCCAACCAGCGGGTCAGCTGCAAGAGGAAGGAAGGAGAGATTAAGGAGACTCTTCATGCTGATGTTTCCCAATCCGATCCTTGGAGACCTGCAGATAGTCCACGTTTTACCAAGAGCTGGGAGGGAGCAAAAATGTGAGCTGTCCGGGGAACCGCGAGGAACTGATTGAAAAACACTAATGTAGGGGAAGACTGTAACACGCCATGAATGAACACCAAGAACGAAGGCTGGATCCAGTGATCTGCGTTCCAACGATGCTTGGACATCATTACACAAGATGACTTCAGACAAAACAGATAACCAGGCTTAACTGATTTTGGCCTAAGTTGAGAGTTCTGGGGTCAGATTTTGTACTGTTAACCAAAATGTGTTTTTTGTGATTTTTTTCTGAGCTGATGCAATACAATGTTAAATGTGATGTTAGCAGTGTATTACAGGCTAAAGTATACAGTACTACTATTAGCTACTTAAAAAATGAGTATTACAATATATACCATAACATAATGTCTGTTGATATGAGGGAAAAAAGAAGAAGAAGAAAAAAAAAAGTATTTTTACACAAGAATGAAACTGAACAACTGTTTAATTTTCCTGCTTTCTGATTTGTTGAAATTCAACTTATGTTAAATAAAGTGTTTGGTGGCCACAGACGTCCCCCATTACAGCTGAGCACAATTCATCACACTTCTATTGAAGCGTCACATATTTACATGTCAGAAGTGATGGTGATTAAGAGTTTAGTGGGTGTAAAATCCTAATGGACACTGGTGGTATAAGCTACGTGAAGGACACTGGTGGTATAAGCTACGTGTTATAAGCCCCCACACTCATGCACGGTCCAGAAACATGACCCTTGCACAAACGGGGCCCTAGTTGAGGTATCAGTATAAATATTTATAACTGAGGACCCAGCACCCAGAACTCCAGCACTTTTTGACCATCTGCGCTATTAAGTGCAACAGAGAGATCATTAGTGGTTTTTGTTTAACACCCCCCCAGCCCCCCCCACCCTGTTTCCTAGGTGTGTCTCGACAAACGCCTTCTCTTGGAAAGCGTGGCGCCACACGAGATAATGAACGGCCGTGACGGTTTAATTATCGGTCACTGCGCTCCTCTGCTCTCAGACAGCGCTGTCCCACAGACCACCTGGGAATTCCAGCTCTGCCGTGGCTGGGATGCGGGGGGGGGGGCGAACGGAGCCCTTGCAGCCGGCGTGTCGCTAACAGGAGATCAGATCAAGTATAATAAAGCAGCAGCCGACTGTAACTTAGAGCCAGCTGAGCAGCGGCAGGACCAGGCGGCACCTGGGCGGCTTAATGCTGGATGTTTTTTTCTTTTCACCAGGGCTGAGATATCGCTCAAAATCACCGCTGTTCACTGGATGCCCTTGAAGCGGACGTGCGGGTCCGCGTGTGAAAGAGCAGCGCGGAGAACACTTCTCCCTTTCCCTTCAATGAGGAGAGCGGGAACGGAGCCGTCCTTCTAACTCTCTGCCCGATGGTCGGTCCTCTAGCCATCTTAACTGGGAGTGTGTGCTCAGGACCGGGTGAACCACCTGACACCAAGTACATTAATAAAACCATGTATGGATGAACACTGCAAATAGGGTTATGGATGCAAGCAACTTCAATGCACCCAAATTCTGAGAAATCGCCCAAAATCATGCCTAAATACATATGATTGCCACATCACGCGGTCTGAAATTTTGCTGCCATTGATTAATCTTTGTTCAGCAGTTACCCTCCTCCTGCCGCCCACAGGAAGCCTCCAAGGGCGAACAAGTACTGCAGAGCTGCAGAGACAGAGACACCCACCAGGGTTACAGTCGGTGAGCAGGGAGCAGATGGAGAGCAGCACTTTGGAGATGGTGAGGGCAGGGCTCCAGTTGTCCTTAAGGATGTCCAGACAGATCACACCCTGACTGTTGATGTTGCAGTGGTAGATCCTTGTGCGAAATGTTACCTGATGCACAGGGGGAGAGGAGGAAAAAAAGAATCACCAATCTAAGGACTTAATCACTTTCACATTATAACGTCGAAAGCCTAGGAATAATTATTACCTTAAATGTAATTTCAATATATAATTTGGGCTCAGTGTCAGTTTTGTGCAAGTGATCACATTTTATTTTAAATAAGATATTAAAAATGACATAAAAAAGAAGGGCTTTATAATATTACTCACATTATATGCAGACGTGATAAAAATACTCATTTCAGTTGCACTGCCTGTGTTGCCTGCAGCAGAAGATTAACCAGGTGGCCAAGACAGGGAGGGGACAAGTGCGTATTATGTGAGGGGAGGGGGGTGACAGTGCGTATATGTGAGGGGAGGGGGGTGACAGTGCGTGTATGTGAGGGGAGGGGGGTGACAGTGCGTATATGTGAGGGGAGGGGGGTGACAGGATTAGGAGTCCAGTTGCTCCTCGCTGAAGATGAAGTATGACATCAGTGACCTGGCAGCAAACCCAGTCACTGGTGTACGGCTGAGCTTCAAAGAGCCGGACGCTTGGCGCTCCGTGTGCCGAGGTGACACCATCTCCGCTTTTCGCCATCTGCCGCGCGGCTGTGACGTGCCGTGCGGGGAATTACCTTCCCGCCAAAGATTACGGACGCAGATTCTCCTTTTAATGGTAACAATCCACAGGCCACTCAGCTTCTGCAGCCACAAGTGTCATTTTAACAACAGCTGGCATTTTGATGGAAACGCCTCTCCAGTTCCTAAAAATAACAACCTGTACCACCTGCAAGTAACGTAACTCAGCGTAACGCGCTCTGCTCCTGCTGCCTGACCGCAGGCTGATGGCGCCGCGGGACAGTGTGTCTGAAACAGCGTGAGAGGAAGAGAGCCAGCAATGTCATGGAGGCGTTTTTCACTGTGGTGTTCTTAATTCACCTTATTTTACCTCAAATACACTGAATTATTATGCATAATGGAATATAAAGTGCTCCTTCGGTCTAGCACAATCAAGACGTTGGCACGTGACGTAGGTCTTGTAATGTGGATATAATTAACGATACGGAGGGAATATTTTAATGTAACCAGCTACCCTTGCATGAATAAAATATCAAATACTGATACGTAGACATTTGACTTCCCACTGTGGAAAACCATTTAGCGTTTCTCAACGTACAAAACACAAGCACAAACTTCAAGCTCCATGCAGTTACCATAACTGCATAGGAATCATAACTTGTTTGTAAGACTACAGTTTTTTTCCCATATTTCGCTTTACTTCTGCAAACAAGCTTTTGCCTAACACTTCGAAATTTTACTTTTCTTTCCCCCAAACAAAGACCGATATCACTGATTCACCCCTAGCTATCAAAAACATACCCCCTACTGAGCCTGAAAATGAGGTCCCGAAAGGTGAGTATCTCAAAACTGGATACTCTGACCACAGGACTAAGCTGAGCCTGGGCCCAGACGAAGAAGGGAGAAACGTATCTATTATATGTACATAAGGCTGTAAGCAAAAATGTCCTCCACAATATCAGCATCCAAAAGAACCAAGTTTAGGTCCAGCCCTGGAAATAATTTAGCGAGCAACTCCTGAGGCCAAGATATAAACAAAAAGACATTAAAGGCAGCTGTGAGCAAACAGAGCCGAAGGAAAACTCTTACCTTGGGTGGTTTGAAGGGGTAGTCAGGTGTGAAGGCGATGTCGAGGAAGAAGACGCCCCCCTCGTACACAGAACCCGGGGGTCCCAGAATGGTGGACCTCCACTCGTAGATGTTGTCTCCTTTTGGACCAGCACTGGACAGGATACAAGGGATAGCAGCATGCGTAAGTGTGTGCCGTGGATCTCCGAAATTCAGTCCCACGTTTGGTTCAAATTAAAGCAAAAATAAACAAATGTTTGTAAATCAAATTCAAGCAGCCAAGTTGGCTGGCTGACAGAGAGTGCATTTAATACGATAATGACACCAATACGTTCTCGACTCTCAAGTCAGCGAGGGAGTGGAGAGAGACTGTTCATTCAGTCAGTCTTACTTTGTGCTTAAATAGTCTCACTGTGCCAATTACCGGCACATTCCTTGCCTCCCTGTCCAGCCTTCCCTCAGAGATCAGACGCCACAAGAGGTAATTGTTTCATCAAGTGCACATATTTTAAGAACTCGAGAATTACGAGGTCTCACGTAACTAACAGGGGTACCAATCTTCAATGCATTTTTATTGAATAACCATTCAAGAATATACGGGGGATATCATCATTTACAGAGAACAGATATTCTTTGATGCAAGTGTAGTGACGTTACCTGGCAACAGAAGCAACAAGAGAGTAATGACTATATACTCTTGTGTAAACGCCAAAGTATCTTCCACAATTTTCTAGAATGCTGTTTATTAATTGACTGAAAACTGCCAGCATAAAAGCGTTGTGAAAATGATGTTAATCATTCCTGAGAAGACAACAGAAGTGTTGTTTGCACCAAGGAGGCTTGGTATTTGAATGAATTCGTAGATAATTTGTTCACTGCGGAAAGTTAGAAACTTTAAGGCTTCAGCACCAACTGCTTTCCATTCTGTTCATGGGAGATCAGCAAGACGAGGGAGGACAAGGTGCCCCAACATGTGACTGTTTGGGGGCGTGACAGTGTACAGGGTGCAGGGGCGAAGATGAGGCCTTACGCTCGCTTGAAATAGGACAAGAACAAAGGTACTGAATTGCGCTAGTGGAAGGTGTGTAGTACGTATATAATGACTGACCAGAGCTTCCTCGGGACTTCAGCATGTCTAACTGCTGTGGGTTAAGCTCAAAGGTCAGTGCAAGACAAGCCATTAGACTACTGAGTCTTACTAGGGTTTAGCGTGGCACATCTGTCAAGGAAGCACACACAGACAGAAATTCCCATTTTCATCTACATCGTCAAATGGCAGAAACGCCATAAGGGTCTTCATAACCCTTTTTCCTGTTCTTATTAAGCAAGTTATTATTCAAGTGAAAACTGGCCGCTTAACAAAATGCTACAGTGCTAATGCTAAGCGGTAACGCTAAAGCGATCATCTGTTTCAAGGCTAGGCTCCAGACTTGGCGACAAAGTCATTTCCATGCCGCAATTCGTAACCTGCTGAGAGGTTAAAACTCATCCGGAGTTGAATTACTCAGACTGCATTTAACCTCAGCGCGCAGCATTTACGTTAGCTAATGAGAGTTTGTTCCATTTTATTTGTACCTGTCTATACTGTTCTGTTTGATGCTACATGCTTCTATCGACATGCACAGGAGTGATCTAATCGAACCCTCCCATCGTTTAACATGTCTTATTCAATTTCGATTTATGAAAATGTTTTAGTTAATGATAATCTTGTGTAGTACATATTAAAATACTACTAGTCATATCCTCTATAACCACTTACACAATACAGGTATTGCTCATAAATAAAAAAAAATATTACAAATTATATAAGCATCTAACGAACATTCATAAGCTACTTTGTCACTTCCATTCTACACAAAGCCAGCAGACCAGCGAGAGACATCATGGGACACTGTGGACTCTCCTCCTCATAGTCTTTTGGTCCTCGATCTAGCTCAGTCCGAAGGTTAATGAGCACCGGAGCGTGTTAGTCCCTCCCGGCTCAGGCAGGCGAAGGACTTGAGGAAAGATCTTCATAGCTCCCCCCATCCCTCTACGGCACACTTCCTGTCAGTTTACGGCCCCCACACAGCCACCTTCTATCCCAGGTGACCATCGCAAACGTTCTTGCGGACTTGTCCTAGGACTGAAGCGGAACCTTTCCAGACAGAGATCAGCAGACGACATCATTATAGGCCTTAAAATAACGATGCTACACTAAAAATGGAATTTCGTTCAATAGTTCTGATATCTTAGTGTAGCCCGACTGGGTCAGAGAGATCACGTCCCAGCAAGCCTGAGGTTTGTTATCCTGCAACAGCAATGGAACACCAAGCAGGCACGAGACAGAGACGGATCCGTGCCGACACATGACCTGACGAGCCGCAGATTCACGGCAGCTGCCGAGGGCTGTTTTCACTCCCAAATCCAAGCGCACTTTCATTCCGCCGGTTCCCACCATAAGAGGCTTTTCTCACGACTGCTTCCTAAACAGTTTGCAGCGCTTGTGGCTGGTCCCAGCTAACACCCACCACACCCCCCTGCCCCAAGGTGAGGAGGCGTTTGGAAAAATTGCCGTTTGTTCGGCCGGAGACTTTCAGACACATCCAGGAAAACTTTAGACTCGCAACAGTGTTCAGCTTCCAAAAACTTGGACAGAAACATATTGTTCTGTTTCTCATAAATAAATAAAAAAGAAAAACACACACATATATGATTGTGAGCTACTATAAGCGCAAAATATATTTTTAATGAAGCTGTAATCTTAAAACTGACCAATTATTTGTTTAATAAAAGTCATTTTTGTAGAAATTGAGCGAACAGAGCCACATCTGCTACCCCCCCTTGAGATGAATTTTCTTTCCATATTTAGGATTTATTCCGCTCGCCAACCACCCCCCCCCTACTCTGGAAGGGTCAGCGAGCTCCTTACTGGGCCAGCTCCAGAACCACTCTGGGACCAGATCCAGTTTACAGAGCCCAGGAAAACAAACAGCTTCCCAGGTTTGGGGGTAATTATTCGACATGTTTGGACTCACACGGGCACGAGCTGGGCCGTCCCTGAATTCTCGGGGTCTTAATGGCCATGCGAGGCAAAGTCAAGGCGCACAAATCGGATTGGATATCAATGGAGCCAACTCAGTCTGAGCCAGGGTTCGAGCTCAGGTCGTGTCACAATTACAAAGTCCCGGACAGTGACCCAAAGGGGTCTCTTCAAGAGAAAGGCTTCATCTGGCTTTCCGTAAGCATTCGACCCCTTAAACTCTTTGATCCCAACACGATTTAGCTGAGAAAAAGAAATCAAAAACAATGAAGAGCCTTTCCACTTGCCTGGCCGTTGTCTCAGTTATAGATCTGGCAAACTTCTTAAAGAATACATATTAGAAAAGAAAAAAAAAAAACAGCTGAATGACAAACTTAATCATTAACAGCATTCAGCTAAGCCACAATAGCTTGGCGACGTGATTCCCACCAGAATGTTCTTAAAATAAAGCATTTTGGGGGGGGGGGATATGGAGTGAAATGCAAACAGCTGCCAAGATGTACAAATGGAGCTTTAAGAGATGAAATGGCTTAACCAATATTTAAGCACCATGTGGGAGTTACACCGTGCGTGTGTGTGTGGGAGATATCATCACTCAGTCCGGATCCCTTATTGCACCTTCTGTCACCTGAATTATGTATTATTTAGTAACAGACATATTGACCGAGACAAATCACACAAAGGATCTTCCCAGAGGAGTCTCCCAGCAAAGGACTCCTACCTCACAATTCGTGCACTAATGGCTGATAGGACTCTGCACGAGGACCGATGAACTGCAGTTATTCCTTGTCACTCATTAGGCGATTTCTGGCGATAATTGAGCATTTTCTCCAAATCACTCCCTCTCATGGGAAGGGCCCAGTTCCCCATAAACAAACGACTGAAGTTTTACGGTAAAAGAAACACCCAGAACACCAGGCATCGTGGCATCGGCGTTAAGCGCCAAACTTGGCCGCTGATCTATTTCACAGATACACGCCGAGATAAAAGCTCATTTTCGAAACTCCACTTTTCAGCAATAACATAATGTTAGTAGTTTGAAATTATTTCACCTCTTACCGGAGACAAAAGCAACAAAAAAGAAAAAATTACGGAAACATGCAGCAATGATTTCCACAGTTTACATCACTCGAGTCACATGACCTGGGAGCTCACTCAGTTCTGTTCAGGGGAACAGCCTTTAACTTTATCTCCATAAATAAAACCCAAGTGAAGCATTGTTTTATTAATCCTAAACACTGTTTTTTTATATAGCATGTGGATTTTTATAAGTGAACTCCCCTACAGATATAGTACACTTCACAGCTACAGCTACTAAAATGATTTGTTTACTGAGCCAATTCCCGTAAAAGAAAGCAGAAATAATTAGCTAAAATGAGCTGATGTCAATACGGTGAGCGGGCGGCTTTGGAAGCACTTTGTTAGCAATCAACAGGCATGTTTTCGAGCATAGAAATAAAACGCGATTCCCGAACAGGTAAAAACGAATCTGTGGAGAGACGAGGCGCGGGAGAGCGTGCAGACTGTCCGCCACGGTCCCAGTCTGACCCGCAGGTAAACCGCGAGAACACCTGCTGGCTGAGGCTGTTGCCTGGCAACCACATTACGAGGACATGTCGCGCCGTAGTGCCCGACCGAGCCGAGGACTCGAACGCTCCGGGTTTCGAGCCCCCAACAGCAGCATGTTTTACGTGCCCCGTGGCTACAGCCATCCTGCACGATACCAGCCAAAGGAAACAGGGACCTTGGCTTCTAGAGGATTAAGAGCCCCCATTTGCTGTTGGTTACGGGGTACTGGAGTAATCAACCTCATGACCAGGCCGTTTCCAAAGCCAAAAACCAACAAATTCAAATGTTTTCACGAGGAAAAAAAACTAGTAAAAAGCAGCAAATATTACCTTTAAAGTCTCTGGTTTTTCTTGTGGGAAATGAGATAAGTTCTGTTTGTAGAACCCAAGAGCTGCAGATGTTCAGACATAAAACAGAGCATTTAATAGGAAAGCGGTTTAAATTCGAAGGGCAGGTGTTTCCAAGATTAGCAAACACAGCATTAGGATAATGTGTAAAAGGATCTGACAGGCTGACCAGAGCACTTCCACATGTGGGTGCGAAAAATGCCTGGAAAATGACTGCACTGTGAAAATCCATCACGGGTCAAGAGAAATATTTCTACAGTTGAAGTCTATTTAGAACCACAAGTGTGGATAAGTTTAAGATGAGGGGGGCGGCGAGTGGCTTAAAGGGTCAGAACGCTCTGGTCGGACAGTTGTAGGTTCAATTCCTGTGTTCGGCAGAAGGGATTTCACTACTGGGCCCCTGAGCGAGGCCCCAAAGCCCCCCCCAGCTACTCAGGGACTGGCTGACTCTGCTTTGGATAAAAGAATTTGTTAAAAAAAATATAAATGTTTTAAAAATGATTTAAAGATGCTGGTTAAAACTGAAAAGTTAAAGCTGACAGGCATAGATGTAACTACCAGAGGATACTGTACTGCTGTTTCCATGGACTACAATGGTGGTGATCAATGGCGGGACGAACTGTGGGAGAATCCGGGCCACACGTGTGCAGGAAGTGAGGGGTGTCTGTGGCGCGGCTCTGTGAGAACGGGCCCTAATCGCTCTGCCCAGATTTAGAGTACATGGGAAAAGGGCTGGAAGCTGGGTCTCCTTGTCATTCACGGCCCCCAACACTGACTGTGTTTAGGCGTAGCAATGTTCTACAGCGAGACATGTGTGCTGTGAAAAATAAGGGGATGTCTGACAAGTTCCCCACTCTGGCAGGTGTGTGTGTGTGTGTGTGTGTGTGAGGGGGGGGGGGGGGGGGGGGGGGGGGGGGGGGGGGGGGGGGGGGGGGGTAGTGTGAATGTTGGACTATTTCTGGGTAAAAACTGTCATCATTTTAAAAAGTGGTGGGGGGGGAATGCAGTGACTACCACTGGGGAGCATTCGCACTAGCAGTTCACAGTTCATGAGAGTTTTTTCAAATCCCTATTTTGGGGACAACATCCTTCTGCCGATGGAGGCTGTGTATGGTGAGGGGGGGGTGGCTTTCAGGGGAACTGGCATAGTTAGGCATTAACTACAGGTCACGGGGGTGTGTCCTGTTACATCAAACCGACACCTTAAGACAGGGGTGGGTAATCTTATCCACACAGGGCCGCT